CTTCAGCACTAGAGGTATGACAAAAACATGGACAGAGCTACTAGCAGGACCAAAGATTTGATACCACTTCGTTGCTTTGCTAAGCAATTTTCAAAGGGTTTCTCAAAGAGAGCAAAAAGACTTGTCTCTGAAAGGAAGAACTCTGATGAATGGAAGAAAAAGTTTCTACAAGAATATATTTCTTGAAACTCAATTATACAAAAACTGTTACAAATGATATACATGAGAAAAAACTTAATTGATAATAAAAAAACTCGTAAGCAACGGCAAACCCTTTTTTCGGTTTGCTATTTCCAACAGTTATAAAGCTTATAGGTATTTACATTACTATTTAATTTCAATCAGAATTCCAACTAAACCTATGTTGTTGATCTAAAAGGGTTAGAAATGTTGGACTCTTCCAAGTACTCAAACCCCATGAAGTGCTTCACTCTTCGTCTTTGATGAACCTGTTGTATGTGATATCAATGATGCCACTTCAATTGACTGATAAACAGTTCTCTAATTCAACATAATAATGAACAACCTATCATGCTTGCAGCTTGGTAAAGCAAGAAAAAAAAGCTGAAAACAACAATCCCAAGATCTTTACATTCAACAAGTGAAAGTACAGCTAGAATCAAGTTGGATTTCTCATTAGATTCATTTCCACAGAAAACTTCCCAGTAGAAAGTTGATTACTGGAACTCTGGAAGTAGACAAAATAGGAATCTTTTATTGGTACCAAGATGATTGTCCAAATCCAAATTCTTGAGTCAATCTGTTATATTCTGGAGTAGCTGGTTCAATTCAAATAAATACTGAATTTCTTACATAATAATCTACATCTTCTTTGCGCTATATATGATGTAAAGTCAAATCATATTTGGTAAACAAAACAAAACCACAAGAAGTTACAGCTTTATATAACAAAATCAAAACCTATCCCACACTATCTAGTTTAATTCCTGACCTCGGATTTTTTGGGTCGTAATATTACCTTTCATTGGTCTATGAGTTCTTATGTGTACTATTTACAGCATTCTCAACTACATACCTTGAGTCAATTCACGGAGGGTCTTCCCTGAACATTAATCTTCACTCTTTGCTTTCTTCAAGGCAATGTAGAAACTATTAAATTAAAAGTTTTCTTGATTACCTGAGCATGTCTCCACTATGCAATTTTGGCCCGCTCAAAGCTGGTGATATGCTGAAAGTATTACCGTTGCCATTGCCATAACTGAAGGGTGACCAAGAGGCATTGGCCTATCTGGAATTGGTGGCACTTCGATATCTCCTTCCAACATTTTCAGTGCATCCAAAATGGTAGGCCGCAAAGCCACCATTACATGAGCACACAAAATGCCAACCAGCAAAAATCTCTCCATTATGCTCTTTGGATTTGAATTCACATTATCACCATCTTTCAGCAATGAAAAGTCTAAAGCCTGTTCAACTTTTCCAGATTTCACTAATGACCAAGCCCAATCTGTGATCAAAAATGCGCGTGGTGATCCCAAGGAAGACAAATCAAGTGCTTTTCTACCACACATAATCTCCAAAACAACCACACCAAAGCTATAAACATCGCTCTTCTCAGTCAGCTGTCCATAAAGAGCATATTCCGGGGCTAGGTATCCATGAGTTCCTGCCACTCTAGTAGTGAGATGAGACTGGCCTTCCATGCTTTGTTTTGCAAGCCCAAAATCTGCCACTCTTGCTTTCATATCCGCATCTAGTAGTATGTTTGTTGCCTTAATATCTCTGTGATATATTGCAGGCTTCACTCCATAATGCAAATAAGCTAACCCCTTGGCAACATCCAATATAATGCTCTTTCTTTGAGGCCAAGTCAAGGGTCTCCTTTCAATTCCACTCTGATTACTAGACAGAGAAATAAATAGATGGTCATCTAGATTCCCATTCGGCATGTAATCATAGACAAGGTACCTATGACTTCCTCTCTCCTCATAACTGTCTTCACCTTCAACCACGCAACACCCTCTAAGTGGCACAAGATTTCGGTGCTTCAAATTGCTAATAATCTCAACCTCATTGCAAAATTCAGCATCTCCTTGAAAATCAGATTCTATGACTTTCTTGACAGCTACAGTAGTCCCATCCAGTAAAACACCCTTGTAAACAAGACCAAATCCACCTCGACCGATAAAATTCTTCTGTGAAAAGTTATTAGTTGCCTTCTCAAGGTCCTGAATTTTAAACCAAATTGAACCGGTGTTGGGTCTCACTCTAATCCTAGACTCTCGTTCATCTAAATCAAAACCAGAATCCATACGGGACCTTTCAACCCTTTTGTTCCTCCAACTTCTATCATACCAAAAATATAACCCCAACAAACTAGACATGACAAACACTGCAACCCCGGCACCAGTTAGGCCGAAAACAAGAGCGGTACTGCTCTTTTTCGATGAACCCGCATGAGAATCCGGTGACAACCCGAATATACAGGACACAACACCATTACTTTCAGGCCCAAACTCATTGACAATACCAGCAGCATAAAGAATTGCAAAATACCAACAATCTCTACTGTGAGAAGTGTTACCATCAACAGAAATCAGCTTCTTCTGAATGTCAAAGCCGGCGTCCACGCAAGCGCCGCAGGAGGATAGATCAGTGAGGTCTGGCCTGCAAGCAGAGTCAAGAGAAGTACTCTGGCCAAGCTTGGCGACCCAATCTTGGGAAGACTCAATTTTGGCACAGATATTGGGAGAGATGACAAACTGCATAGGGTCAAAGCAATACGAGACAAGATTGGGAGGGAGGGAGAGGGAGGTGAGCTTGGATTGGTAGTTTTGGAGGCAAGAATTGGAGGTGGGCAAGTTGGGAAGCTGAAAGAGGGATGTCTCTTTGAGGTGTTGGGCAAGGCCAACTCCAAGGAGGGACAAGAGGGTTTGGCAACATGGGATCTTGGTGAGATCCATTTGGGGGGTTTTGGGAGGGGGCTGGAAGTTTTTGCATGACGAGGAGTTGAAGGGGATTCTTAGGACATAGCTGAGATCCATGGGGCATGTTGTTGTGGTGTTGGTTGTGGGGGCTGATGCTGCTGTTGTTCTTGGAGACAGGGTAGAGAGAGAAAGTAGAGCGAGAAGCACCCAAAACCCAATTAGTTTCATCTCTTCTCTTCTATTCTAATTTCTAACTATTTCTCTCACACTCTCTATCTAGGGAAGAAGATTGTGGGTTGTGCTTGAATTTGGATAAGCTGTAGTTGGGTTGTGATTTTGAGAGAAACTAAACAATCTAGAGAGAGAGAGAGAGAGAGAGAAGGAATGAGTTGTGTTGGTCTTTCACTCTTCCTCGGTTACAGAGATGAGCTTTGGAGGATTGGAGCTTTGGTCAAACAAACCTCCCTCTTCCTCATTTCTGGCTGCTGGGTTGGTGTCACAGTAACTAACTAGGAAAAGGAGCGTGGCCCAAACGCGCTATTTAATATAGAAATGTATGATTTTGATGTTTAATTAAATGTGATCTTTAAGAGATTAGATTCTGATGTATGTATTTTTTCCGTTAAACATGCGTGGTAGACTGAATGTTTTTTTTATTTTTATTAATTTTTTTTATACAAGCGATATCTTTTTAATTATTCTAGTATTTGCATTCACAAAATATTAATATATTTGCAGATACATTTCTGAGTATACATATATTTAGTTATATATTCATTCTTAGTATTTAAATTGAAAAAAGTGATATTTAGTTATATATCCATTCTTAGCACTAGTAATATTGATAAATTCTACACCATTTAATTTCTATAAACAAACCCAAAAAAATAATAGCTTATCCTATTAAATTTAATTTTGATTATTAAATTACTTTAATACCCTATTAAGTGTTTTGGGTATTTTTATAAAGTTTTGGGGTTGGACTTGTTTTAAGAAATTGATGGCAATTTTGTAATTTATAGGAAATTCGAAGTCTCTTTGTTATATTGTAAATGGATTTTTGATGTGTTTTTAAAGTCCATTTTATGCAGGATTTTTATATCATTTGAGCTCATATATTAGGTATAATAGTGAATCTCCTTTGATTTTTTTATATATATATTTTTCATTTGATCAGGCAAGTTTATCAATTTATTCATTGTATAAAAATTACATTAATATGGGATTTAAAAAAAATATTTTTTTTTGCTGATATTTATAGAACGGAATGGTGATGGTGGAATGGAATATGGAACCAATACATGCGCGTGGGGAGGCTGGGGTTTGCTGACTGTGGATAGTATGTAAAAGTCTGCTGGTTATTTACAAAAACAAAATAAAACAAAACAAAAAGGAGAAAAGGTTGCAGGCTAAGAACAGCCATATTATATTTTATATCAAATAGATGCATTAGTTCATCATCCTAATCCCAAGTTCTTGTTTTTCCCAAACATGACCCACCTTGGTTTGTCTTACTTTTGCATTTATAGTTAGACATACGTTAATTAGGTTTTGTTTTTTTTTAAGGAATTAGGAGGATGATGAACTAAAACATCTATTTTATATAAACATACTCGAGTAAAGTTCAAGCAACCTGAATCAAACTAACGAAGAGGAAACACAAGTTTTGAAGCTCCGTGACATAAATTTGTTTCATCTCTTGATTACAAAAAGTACGTTTAATTTGAAGCGCATGCATGCATGCATGCATTCATTCATAAACAACGTCTTAACGTGCTTAGAATTGCATATGGAACCGATGGGAATGAATAAGTAGAAAAAGCAGTTAGGTTAGCTTGGAATGAACCTAAAAATAGAAGCTAGGAGAGTAAAATTAAATAAACTAACTAATTAAGAGAATGACCCGACCTATACTCATCCATGTCACAATAACAAACACTTCTTCCTCATCCCACCGAAAAAACAAACACTTCGCCACATAAACGCTCCTAAAGAAACGCTTCTTCATCTCTGAATCCCCAGCCATTCTCTTCTGATATCGACCTCCTCCCTGCCCCCTCTCTTTTATGGGGGAATCCTCCACGTTCAGCATCGACGTCGGATCTCTACAGCATGCTCGGAATATCCAATATTTGCAAAGGATACAAATCCTTTGTTATGAAATTGTCCCCCAACAACCATCACAAGAATGGACAATCCAAGTTTACAGACAATCATGAAACCACCAAGGTAACATAAATTCATATGCCAAACACCTGCATGTGCTTAAATCCATCAAAAAGTTATACAATTAACATGATGTACGCTTGCAAATCTGCATTGTTGAATTGGTAACATGTATTGTATGCATTTGTGACAATTTTTATCTAGAAATTAGGAGTTATTTTAAGCGTAAATATTGGGTCAAAATTTGATGCTAAATCTTTAATGATGTTTATATCAATTTGCATCGATCATGATCTTGAAAAGTTTATAGCTTGTTTCTAATCTCATTCTATGCTTAATTTGCATAATGATCATGATCCGAGATGCAGGAGGAAGAAAATTTTACAATTAGTTACCCAACAACACCAATAGGCAGTTTTGATCATCAACGAAGTATTGATGATAACTTCTTCTCACGTCGAAGTCTTTCAAGGACTGGGAGTAGAAGATGTAAAACACCCACCCCGAGGACCTTCTCAAGAAGTGCAAGCCGGAGCACCACCCCTACGCCGACGACGTTATTGAGAGATATGAGTCTTAGGCAATCGTCAGAGACCGAAACCTCTGCCTCAATATCAAGAAATATGAGTCGAAGGCAATCGTCAGAGACCAAAACCTCTGCCTCAATATCAAGAAATATGAGCCGACGAAGCACCTCAGAGACTGAATTTCATGCCTCTCTATCAAGGAATATGAGCCGGAGACGCCCATCTGAGACTGAAATACCCTCTCCATCACCCGCAGCCTCTTCAGTGTCAGCACCTGCCTCTCCGGCGCCTGCCTCTCCGGCGCCTGCCTCTCCATCACGGACTCTATCACCTAGTGCCAGTAGAACATCAGGCACATCTGATCAACCGGACAAACCTTCCACACCTCTGTCAAGAAGTATTAGCAAGAGGAGCCCAACGCCTATCGTGTTCTCTCGGACAACTGCACGAAAGAAAGCTCCTCCGGTTGAGAAGAGGCTTGGATTCACACTTGAGCAGTTGTGCCATGGATGTGTAAAGAAGATCAAGCTTACAAGAGATGTCATTAACGATGCCGGGTTTGTTATTTTCATTACTTCACCTTATCTCATGTTAAGAGACGCTTAATCTATTTGTGAGGTGATTAATTATACTGATGTGTGTGATTGTTATGAAACAGGATTATTGTCCAAGAAGAGGAAGTACTGCAAATAAACGTGCAGCCTGGATGGAGGAAAGGTACGAAGATTACATTCCAAGGAAAAGGAGATGAGAAACCAGGGTACCTCCCTGCTGATATAGTCTTCTTGATAGATGAAAAGCGGCATCCCTTGTACAAAAGATCAGGCCGCGATGACTTGGAAATGGCCGTTGAGATTCCTCTGGTGGATGCACTGGGAGGCTGCTCATTTCCAGTTCCTCTGTTAGGAGGTGACAACATGAAACTCTCATTCGATGACATCATATATCATGGCTACGAAAAGGTCATCCAAGGACAAGGCATGCCATTGCTTAAGGAACCAACAAGGAGAGGCGACCTCCGGATCACGTGTCTAATAAACTTTCCGACAACTTTGAGTGATGAAGAACGTGCAGAAGCTGTCAACATTCTACAAAATTGTTCTTATGATTAACAATTCAAATCTCTCCATCACTTATGAGGAACCATTTAGAATTGTTCTCTTTTGATCTTCTCTATGGGGAAAAATAGAAACTCACAGTAGTCAAAATTTTGAATTGAATTGCATCTACTCACATGTACATAGCTCTGCAGAGTTACTTATACAATATGAGTACACAAGGAACAAAATACCCCTAACAAGTAGAATTCCACTGAGAATTTTGCAGTAGAGATAGCATTTGTAATGTATTTTGTGTCAAATATAGTAATCTTTCCTCAGAAGTTTTTTTTTCTGAATTCCAAAAAACAGTTCTAATCCATTGCTTATGTTTTCTATGCTGATGTCGTGCCTTTGTCCATGACTACATCAATTTAGGGTTCCCACTTACCTTTCCAATATATGCTCTAAATACTGAAAGGCAGACACCCAAAATGCCATCAACAAAAGAAAATATAGAGATATTCTTTTATAATTGAAATATACTTGGAATATCATGTCAAGTCAACATAATTAAAAATTTAGCTTTACACATGGTAGCTATATAACTGGGGTTTCAGATGGCTAACAAGAGCGACAACTTCACATTTTTATGAATCTGGCACCAAGGATGAAGATGAAGTTGATAGGTCAACAACAGAAAACCAGCCTAGATTAGTGTGCCACAGCACTGGAAGCCTGGACTCTAGCCAATCAACATAAAAGTAAGCCCCTCTTTCGCACAAAACAACACGAAAATATAATTTGATGTTATTTCATGAATAGCTTCATAACAATTTTACTTCCCTAATGTTACAACACCTCTGTGTCTTGGATTGGTAGAGAACAATTAAAAGCAAGCCCGAATATAAATTGGATTTGAGATTCATGGTCTAAAGGATGAATGCACCTCAAGAACTTGAGCTCCTTGTCGGTGAGCGTTGCCCAGCAAGAAAAGGTACTTCTACCACTGTTCCAGGAACAGCATCTCCAACAATTACAGTGTCTCCCTCTGAAACAGTTTGCCTCTTGATGTAGCCTAAACCAAAATACCCATTTTCCTTTCTTCCCGATGTGCAACTTGTGAGCTTCCCAACCTGTGAAAATTTCACAAGCTGTCATGACACAGCCTTGAATCTTGCCCTTTATTTTCTATACTCGACCACTGACATGAAATACTGGTGACATTTTCCAGGGAAGGAAAAAAAATTCTTAAGCATTATCTATTTGAAGTTTTGAAGGTGACTTCGTGTTAAATTCCGTGGCCAATTTATTCAGGAAGTTATGGAGGTTTTGCTTTCTTCCCTATTAAAAAGATAATGACAAGAAAAATATTTGACATGCAAAATTTGAACAGTATATTGGAGAGTGAAACAACTACTACCTTTTTCCCATCAATTGTAATGAGGCTGCCAACTTCTGCTGGGGCTGATAGACGAATTGCCCAAAGTCTTTGCTTAACTCCGTCATATGTTATGAGTCTAGCTACAGTCTCTTGTCCTTTGTAGCACCCTGCAAAAAGACAGAATTAGACCAGCTATTTTCTCATTTTCTTTAAGATGCATTAAAGAGTAAGGAGTATGATACCTTTGTTTAAAGAGATCGAATTCCAGAGACCAGCCTCCAGGACATTATATTCATTAGTAAGCTCCTTCTGAGGAGCTGGCCTTCCTGCAAAAAGTAATCTGGGCTGATGATCACGAGAGAAATCACAGAAAACCAAACTTTAAACGACTAAAACACACTACTATTATTGTCAAGAAACATTTGGTTACATGCTTCTATATTTAATTAGTTGTTCCATTCCATGATAATGCTTTATTTGTTGTTAGTGCACGAGGGGAAAAAAATATGAAAACAAAGGAATATGTCTTTCTGTTTTAACACCCAAAAACATATGAAGCATGTCCACTGAGAGCATGTTTATGGAAATTACAGACGAGAACTCATCCAATTTCAAGTTTTAATTATTTTCAATAGCAAACAAGCAAACAAAAATGTTTTTCCACTGAAATGCAACTTATAAAAAACTTTCTACATTAAATTGTCAAAGAAAACTAAATTGGCAGTTAAGAATATAAAATAGGTAACAGCAAACATATCATAATGCATCAGTCAAAGCATTGACGAAATTAAACGTGGACAGGCTTAGCTCCTTGGTGAGGAAGCACTTTCTCCCTACAGTTAAGGTGCTACCAATAACTTTGTATGAGTTGGTGAATGTAGTGGGTTCAATCACATTAAAGTTGTTAATTATGATGATTTAATGTTGTGAAATGGGTGAGCCCCATTACTTTCACCATTTATTTCCATGAATTGGTCACTCAGGGGTGAGGGAGAAGTTCTTCCTTACGGGTAAGTAGCCAACCATTTTTCATTCAAAAATGGGGGAAAACTGCCAACATCTAAATAAAAAATTCTTACCTTGGAAAATTCTTAGTTTTTCCCATGCATTAGAGCCCATTGGAATTGCACCCTGTGACAGAATCGTTTTCCAGACTGATCCAGCAGCAGCTGGTGACATCAAAAGTGAAAAACCCTTTTCAGAAATGACATTACCCACACCCACAGTTATAGGCATCCCATTAACCTGCAAAGAAATAGGATATCTTATTAATCTCCCTTGAAATTAATACTTTAAATTTCATCTCTCCTACAGTTATTCTTAAAGAAGATGAAATCAATAAGTACAACACACTCATATACATTATTGATGCTTACACTAAAATGCTGATGTGTGCCATATGGCTGTCCAACAAGATCACCTAGGTTTAACTCTTCCATTATCTGTTCTCATTTCATGATAAACAATTAACATCATCAAGCTTCAGCTTAGTAAAAAGCAAGGTCAAAGACCGAAATAATGCTTGCCACATGTACAAAAAAATTTAAAAAATCTTACCTGGTTGCTTTTAGGTCCCACCAAAACAAAGAAGCAAGTTTGCTTAGTGATGTCTTGAATCTCTACCTTGTCATTAACGAATATGTACCTGTTGAAAAAATGGCCCAGTGATAAGATTCACTACATGGAACTTATTCCCAATAAAAGTTTATCAAGTGAACATCCTCCAGCTCTCCCCTAACTTGTACCAGCCTAGAAAATTGCCATGTCTGCCCTTAACTCCACATCATTCAAGTCTCAAAAAAAAAAAGAAATATTGCAGTTGAGAAAATTCCCACTGTCACCAAATGTAAGCCAACAAAATCTTTATCAGTAGCCATGCTGAATTGGACAGGTAAGAAACTCTCTAAAGAACTGCCTGGCCCCACAGTCATGCCAAATATTCATCTCAGTCTGATTGTTTAAATTTCCATGCCTTTGTAAAAATTCAATGACATTGAAAGTGAGTATGAAGCACTTCACCAAAATATAAGAACTCCAGGAGAGAGAGAGAGAGAGAGAGAGAGAGAGAGAGAGAGAGAGAGAGAGAGAGAGAGAGAGAATTGCAAGCTGGGCATAACAGGACTGGACCATTGGTAACAGTGCAAAAGATAATGTAAATTCTCCTCAAAGTTTGTCTTATTGTTTTTCTTCTTTTGACAAATTTCAATTACATTAGTGCTTAGATAGTGCTGTGGTATACATGATGATACCATCTTTCAAAGCTTTTTAAAACAACACTAAGAACTTAAAAAAGAAGATGCACTTACTTATTCAGCATTTCAGAGATACTTCTCGAAGTCACAGGTGAGACCACTAACAGTACTGCATTTTTCTGGGAACACAAAAATAAAATATAAATAACAACGTTGATGAAAAAAACCATGAAGACTATTAAACTTCTGGGAAATCAACAACGTACAAAAATTATGAAAAAGAAAGATTACCATGATCCACGCATGTGCAATATCTATTGTCCGAGCTGTTGGTGTAACAAAAACGGTGTCACATCCCTACGGATTTCAATCAGAAATCCTATTACTCAAGCCTGTATGATTGTATACATATAAGAATTAAATCAAAAGAAGAAAATTGCGTCAACAGCACATACGCAACCAACTTCTGATTACATCCGACCAAAAATACCTGTCCTTCATGAAGGCATTCAAAATTGGCAGTTGTTTGGTTGTGAAGAAATTGGATACGGTCTTCTCCACTAACTTCGTGATGAAGCCACATGTTCATATGCACAAGGGAAAAACACATTAAGGCATCCGCCAAAGCCAAATACTACAGACTTGACATAAATTTGATTGCATTACCTCAAACAAGTAAACAATAAATACATGACAACTCTAATTCTCGAACAATTAGCAAAAGATTATGAACTCCATACAAAAGGATGACAATATGATTAAATTAGTAAAAATAATATTAATGTGAGAGAAAGATACATCTCTTTAGCACTGCTACTTGAATGCTCACAGGGCATATCCAAGTTAAACAAACGGAGGCTGACTCCATTTAACTTGGCTACACGAGCTTGACTTGGTGACTGGTAAGCTGCATGGCCATCAGGCCAAGGTCCCTCAACAGCTCTAAATGAGAGGTAACCTTCTAGACAGTCGTTAGACCTAGCCAAGCACTTCAACACGGTTATGGCTTTGAATTCCACATACAACATTCAGCATAAGTTTCCCCTTACTAGAGCAATTTCCACTTGAGGCCAAATACGGTATGAGATATTTATGCACAGGTTTCCATATTTATCTGTGGGATATTTGCGAGTTATTCATTATAATATCTATTGGATAAGCTACATTTTGGGCTTCGCTTTGCGTGCCGGTTTCTGTCAAACATATGGGGAAATAATTTTGAATATCTTTTTTTTTTTAAGAAGAAATTCTGAATATCTATTCTTCTCCATCTAAGACGTATTTAAAGTGTTACAATCATATACAAAGTAAGAGAAACAACCAACCTAATAAAAGTAAACAAAGTCAACTATATAAAATTCTACTAATAAAAAATTGCTATTTCTATTGTATTCCAACACATGTCAACAGTTTCTTCTGCTTTCTGTGATTGTCCTTTCTTTCTTAGGTTTTCCTGACTGTAGTTTCCTGCTTCTTGTGCTGTTTTGTTTGGGTAGGTGCATTTTTTACTGTTCTTTTACTAAGACTGATTTACATCATATAGTTTGAAGTTTACTTATTTTGGACTACTGGTCCACTTTGATTGTTCCTCTCAGTTCTTTACGGGAATGTATTGGGAAATAGAATCTCATATCTCTATACAAAGGACATCGGGCTAGTCTCCGAGGTAAGCAATACTAATCCTTATTGGACAATAATACTAATATGCAACATAAATTTATATATATATATATATATATATATATGAAAAGTAAAGGAAAAGATAATATACCTCTTATCCGTCCAAAATGTGAAAGGTCTGCTACCTGAGGCATTACATGGATTCAGAATAATTAGATGAGGTCACAAAATTAATGGCTGCACACTCAATAAATATGAAAAAAACCATCATTGAGTTGCTAAAAGTGCACAAAAGAAAGTGATGCCACCTAAACCCATTCAAAGAATTGACGCTCTATTTAAGTATTGACATAAGAGCAGACAATCAATGTCATAAAGGAACTAGCATGCCGCGCCAAAAGTAAGATGCACACAACACAAGTATGAATCAATCTTATGACTATCCATTCCCAGTGATAGGTCTTTATGTTCAATCAGCACCACCTGTTTACATGGTGGCAAGTGATTAAATCTATATCCAGCAGTGCTGAGAGTGAACCCAGAGAATTCAAACCTTAATACAACTAAAACAGCAACTTGACCATCACTTTTCTCAAGACACCCATTTGAAAAACAAAAAACCAAAAATTTCGCCAAGGACGAAAAATGCATCTTGTCAAGGATATCATTAAACCATTTTCAACCTTACAAATCGTGCAATCTAACATTTTATATTGAATTCTCAAGTTCTAAAGCTTACAATACACAAGCATTCAATTCACAAACTATGCAAAAACTGAAATAATGTAATGAATACGCACCACAACACCATTATCCGCTGCATCAAAAGCTTGGTCATCGTTATCGAAAGTTTCGACAATCCCATCATCGGAAACCTTTGCCCCTTCAGTTGCCACAATGTCCTGCTAACAGTCCGTTCATTTTGTCATGAAATATTGAACATTCTTGTTGTGCTTCAGTTTCTTTTTCTAATTCTCGAGAAAAGAAACAGAGGAAACGGTGGGAGGCACTTACCAGGAGGTCGTGGTCGATGGGAGGAGGGGAGAGGTCGAAAGGCAAGGCCAAAACGACACCTTTCCTAGTCGTTTTGGAAGAGAGTGTGAACTTATGCTTCTGCTTATGTTCCTTCGTCTTGGTCTGAATGCAGGGAAACGCACCGTTCTGGTCGAGATAAGAGAAGGAACGCCATGGATTGAGAAGCAGAAGATCACCTGTAATTGAAGCCATTTCTTGGAGTCTTCTGAGTCTGGACAGCCCCGCGTGTCTCTACCAAATATATGTTTGGATGGACGTTCCTAATCCAATTACTTTACAATATTTTATTTATTTATTAATTATTTTAAATTATAATGAACTTTCCTTTTTATCTACTAGAGTGAAAAGTCACTTTTCGTACTTATAATTTGACGAAATTTCCACCTTAGTCCTTATGCTGTGGTTTTCAATTTTGGCATTTTATTGCAATTGAGGGCATGTCCAAATTTCTCTTACGAGGAGGGGTATTTTGGATAAAATTGGATGGAAGTTTGGATGTGTCATTCATTGAATTATGATAAAATCAAACTATAGGGGTTAAATTACAAAATTAAAACTATATGAACTAAAGTGGAAACATCAGCAAACATGGATTAAATTACAATGACCGAAAGTGACTTTTCCCGAAAAAAAAGTCCTACACATAAGTGTTCAGTCATCGAACTAACTAAATAGCCTACTCACCTTCCGCATAGCAATCAGAGGGAACCTTACCCTTGATAGGGCATCCCATCTCCCCCTAAAGCGAAAGTCATAAAAATTATAGATTACAATCCTAAAAAAAGACATCAATAATAAAATCAGGAGGTTCTTCAAACCATATCCTAAAATTGCCAATGTTTAGAGCAAATTTCACAATTCTATGAGCCACTCCATTAGTTGTGCAACGGATATGAATGAAACATACTCCAATAACCTGTTAAAGTATAAATTTACTGTCCTCCGCTACTGGACCAATTTGGAATCAATCCAATAATGAATTTTTAAGCACCGTCACGATTTGGAGCGTATCACTTTCAAAACAAACATTTGTTCCCTAGCTGCCAAAACCTCAGAGTGTATAGCTGAGAAATTATTATCAAATCACTTGGCTCTCCCAGCAATAAAATTCCCACTTGAATCACGTGCCACAAACCCACTGCTCCCTCCTTATAAAACTTGAATAGTTTTTGCATGGCCTTTTGAGCAACAACATCAGGCCTCCCTCTCTCTAGAGTTACCCCAAATAATTGAATTGCGGGCCTCCCATATTGCGCACCCAATACCATAAAAATTCCAAAGTCACAAGTGGAGAGAGAGGTCGCCACAAAGGGTACCCAATCAGCCACTTTAAGGTACGAACTGCTGCCAACCGCTCGCCCCAGCGGTGAACTGAACCAAACACTTCTTCCAAACAGATAGACAAGATTGTAATTAGTTAAAAAAATAAAATGAGCATGGACGTGCATTCTTTGTTTCGCATACTGCATTCATGCAACACCCACCATTCAATATACTTAGGAAAACAGCTCCACCTTATTTGTCTCAAAAAGGGTATCATAAATTCTGCTGTTGCATTCGGAAACCGTCTTCTACAAGTGTATGTGAAATGCGGTAGGATGACCGATGCACTGAAGTTGTTTGATGATATGCCCCAAAGAAACTGTTTCTCGTGGAACACACTGATTGAAGGTTATACAAAATCTGGGGACCTAGAAAAATCTTTACAGTTGTTTGAGGAGATGCCCCGTAAGGATGATTTTACGTGGAACTTGATTGTTTCTGGGTTTGCAAAAGTGGGTAAGCTGGAAATTGCTCATAGTTTGTTTGATGACATGCCTAGGAGAAATTGGGTTGTCTGGAATTCTATGATTCATGGTTATTCCAAGAAGGGATGCCCTAGAGATGCTTTAAGGCTTTTCCAGGATTTGAGTTCGGACGGGTTGACATTGTCACATGAATGTAAGTTTGTGTTGGCTACTGTTATTGGAGCTTGTGGTGATTTGTTTGCGCTTGGTTGTGGTAAGCAAGTCCATGCACGCATTTTTATTGATGAAGTGGAATTTGACTCTGTTTTGGCTAGTTCGTTGATTAATTTGTACGGGAAGTGTGGGGATTTAGATAGTGCAAGCCACGTTTTCAATATGATGAAGGAACCAGATGATTACTCTCTCTCAGCCCTGATTTCAGGTTATGGAAACTGTGGTAGAATGGACGATGCAAGAAGAATTTTCGATACAAAAAGTAATCCAGATGTTGCATTATGGAATTCATTGATTTCTGGATATGTTAACAGTAATGAAAACATTGGAGCATTAGTTCTATTCAGAGAAATGCTGAAGAATGGTGTTCACGGGAATTCATTTACGCTTGCAAGTGTTTTGACTGCCATTAGTATCTCAGGCATCCTTAAACAGGCTGAACAAATGCACACACATGCTTGCAAAGTTGGGCTGATTGGTAATGTTATTGTTGCTAGTGCTATTCTTGATGCATACTCCAAGCGTGGAAGTCCTAACAACGCTTGCAGATTGTTTAGTGAGCTCAAAGCCTTTGACACAATATTGCTTAATTCTATGATCACTGTGTATTCAAATTGCGGCAGAGTAGAAGATGCGAAACAGATTTTCAAGGCAATGCCAAGTAAAAGCTTGATATCATGGAATTCGATGATCGTAGGCCTTAGTCAAAATGGCTGTCCGATTGAAGCATTAGATCTTTTCAGACAGATGAATAAGCTGGACTTGAGGATGGACAAGTTTAGCCTCGCTAGTGTGCTCAGTTCATGTGCTACTATATCGTCGCTTGAATATGGTGAACAGGTCTTTGCTAGAACTACCAAAATCGGGCTCGATTGCAATGAAATTGTTTGTAACTCGCTTGTTGATTTGTATTGCAAGTGTGGTTTTGTTAAAAATGGGCGAGAATTATTGACATAATGGCCAAGTCTAACGAAGTCGCTTGGAATTCTATGTTGATTGGTTACGCTACAAATGGTCATGGAATTGAAGCACTAGCTCTTTTCAATGAAATGAGGCTTGCTGGTGTGGAACCCAATGAAATTACTTTCACAGGGGTTTTGTCTGCCTGTGACCATTGTGGGTTGGTTGAAGAGGGAAGAAAATGGTTTTTTTAAAATGAAACAGGATTATCATATCGATCCAGGCATCGAACACTACGCTTGCATGATTGATCTTTTCTCCCGTGCTGGTTTCCTCGAGGAAGCAATGAATCTAGTTGAAGTGATGCCTTTTAAGGCAGATGCAAGCATATTGTCTTCAGTCTTAAGAGGTTGTGTGGCTCATGAACACAAGGATCTTGGCAAGAAAATGGCAGAGCGAATCATTGAGCTTGATTCTGGGAACTCTGGTGCTTATGTTCAGCTGTCTAACATATTTGCATACGTAAAAGAGTGGGAAGGATCTGCACAGGTTAGACAAGTGATGAGAGATAAGAGAGTAGAAAAAAATCCTGGTTTCAGCTGGTCTGATTGTTGAACAAGAGACTTGTATGGCAAGATAGTTCTTGAAACCCTTTACGCCTGTATGCGAAATGCAAATGGGCACGTTACTTCGGCCAAGTCATAGGTGGAGGCTGAAGGTGAGATATAACCGGAGCATCAAGTGACAGCACAAATCGCATTGGCCAGATCTCAAACAATCAGAGGGTAGAAAGGGGACGTCCCCTTAGTGTACCTAATTACAGAAAAATCTTGAAATGAAGATATGCAAATCAACAGTTCAACACAACCCAGAAATCTTGGGGAAAAGTGATAAAAGTATCAAAGTAGCATTAGAGAAGGTAAAGTTTCTCAAGGAAGTCAATATAAGGAGCACTATAGAAGTTAAAGGGCAGCCAACACTCATATCAAGAGCCCCTTACACTCAGAACTTGATTCTAAGTTTCAGTCATCAGTCTCGACCTAAAAAAAAGGTCAGTCATCAGTCTATTTATTCTACAAGCTCGGGTATTGTTAGATATAAAACTGTAAACCTCCAAACATAATTTTACCACCACTAATCAATTAATGGGGTTTTATTATTTTAGATTCGACCCATTCGAGACGCAAGTCTCTTAATTACAATCCCTTGTTACAAGGGAAAACCCTTTGATTCCATCATAAAGAAACAGAATGTATGTGTTTGGTTTTGCGGCTGCTCCCAAGTTCAACCTCAGGGTGCCTACGTATCCTTTGCAGGAATCAAGCCACTCGTAGTTCAAAGATTCACAATGAATAGATGACTCATTGGATGAATTCGATTGAGGGGTGTTTGAGTGAATTTAACTGAATAAGTCAGGGATTCGATATGGAGTTGTATTTGGGATGGTTGCATCTAGATTGAATCTCTAGATTGCCTACGTACCCTTTCAAAGGGATCAAACCAACGTAGTTCGGACTTGATTTGTATGGAGATTTGATTGGTGAGAATTTGGTTGCGGTAACCAGTGATTTAAATTTGGTTGCGGTTGCGTCTATTGGGATGTTAGACTGCCTACGTACCCTTGATGGGATCAAACCGACGTAGTTCCAAGGTTTGGAGATTAATAGGCAAGTGTGGCCCAATAATTTAGAGTTGGTGTCTTTGAAACAATTTGAAGATTTTCATAGGTAGATGACCTATTGGAAATTAATGGGTAAGTGTGGCCCAATAATTTAGAATTTGTGTTTGAGATATTTGAATTTAATCTCATTAGAATTTTCATGAGTAGATGACCCACGAGAAAAAATTAGAAATTAATGGGTAAGTGTGACCCAATTTAGAATTTGTATCTTTGAGATAATTTGGGGATTTTCATAGGTAGATGACCTATGGGAAAAATTGAAAATTAATGGGTAAGTGTGGCCCACTAATTGAGAATTTGTGTTCGAGATATTTGAATTTAATCTCATTGGAATTTTCATGAGTAGATGACTCACGAGAAAAACTGGAAATTAATGGGTGAGTGTAGACAAATTTGGTTAGGATAAAACCAGGGATTCAAATTTAATTGCGGTTGCGTCTATTGGGATGTTAGACTGCCTACGTACCCTTGATGGGATCAAACCAACGTAGTTCCAAAGTTTGGTTGGTCTTTCAAAGAATGAATGACCCTTTTGAAAGAATTTGTGTGTTTGAGAAATTTAAATTTGATCTCATTGAAATTTGCAGGGTAAATGACCCATGTGAAAATTTGGAATGGTTTTGTACCATTTTTATTGTTAAAGTCCAAAGAAAATTAAAAGGCATTTTGATGAGCCAATTAATTTACTCACATATGGTTTTGAGGATTTAAAAATTAATCCATTAACCACATAATTTATTTGGACCACCCAATAAATATTTGGGCTTTGAAAGTTAATGGGTAATTTGTTTTGTCAACCCATCAATTTGTTTCCGGGCCTTGATATTTCCATCAGTTGGTCCATAAACAAATAATCCATGTCAGAAAAGCTTTGAGAATCAGTTGAATTTTGAAACCGATATCTATTTGGAGTAGTAGAGATTAATCCAAACTGAGTCACTCCCATCTTTATCTGGAGTAGTTCAAATCAATTATAACTAGACCAAATTATATATCTCTCAACTACTCATCTGCCACAATTAATACAGAGCCTTGAGTCGGAGACGCCAAAACCAAGGCAAGACCTTACTTTTGCTCATGTCTGTCAAAGCAGACCATGTAGTCCACTAAACATGAATTGAAAGTCATCCCAGGCGTCATTCACTTTGCTTTGGCAGGTTTCTTTTATTTTATTTTTGTCTTATTCCCCTCTCTTTGCTTTTCGTTTCTTTTCTTCTTATTTGCTTTTGCTGGTCTCTCCATGCCCTTCCCAACTCTTTTTTTTTGTTCTGACACAATAACATAACCTCAACTCCCCTTTATTTTAGAGTAGGTCCTGTAAGCCATTTCTTCTTTCTTTTCCTTATGTGCAACACGAATTGGGTTTCTTTGCCTAACACAACGCACAAGCCAAAGAGCTATTTGTATATTTTGTTGAGTTTGGCAGTACCAACTTCATGGCTGAAGCTTCTCCCATGTTTTAATCTCAAAGTTCAGCCACGAATCCATGCTTGACCTTTTTTTGGCTTTTTGTTGTTTCCTATGTACTTGTGGCAGACTTCCACCAAAATGGGTTTTGTCTTTACCCATTATGTGTTTAGAGTCCTTCGGATAAAAAAAATATTCATCTTTGGTTCTGTATTGACTTGACAGGAAGGCTTCCCTTTTTCTTGGCTTATGTTGCTTTCGGGTTCTTCAACAGCCGCAACACAGGAGGCTTCTTGGTGAGCCATTCTTCCTTTTGCTTTTTTGTTTGCTGATGCTTTGTGCATCCTTTTCTTTCCAATTTGATTGGAATTTCTAAGGCTTTGCATATTTTCCTTTGCAGACTCGTATCATTTGAGAGGGCCACCGTACTGCCAATTGAGGTGCTGGCTTTGCTTTGTCTCAGTTGCTTCATGTTTTGCCAGCAACAAAGTGAGAAGCTTTTATGATATTTGCATTTTGCTACAGAGGAGTGTTGGCTTAATAATTTTCGTGGGCTGTCCGGCTTGGGATTTTTTCCTTGTTGGCAAACTTTGAAGCACAGAACGTGGGTGTGAATCATCAGCTTTTGTAAGCTTTCTGTCACTCAGTAATTTCTGCATCTCCTTTAATATATTTTCTTCTGTTTATGCCAATCTGTGAGACTAAAACAGGATTGTTGATTTCTCCATTTGCAGCACGCTTCGCCATCTTTTTGTCTTCCAATTTGCAGACTTGGAATTTCGTTGTGCTGAAGGTGGGTTGGGCACAAAGCAGTTGGGATTTTGATGTTTTCTGTTTTTGGTACTCAAGAACACTCGCAAGGTCTTCTTTGAGTACCACAATGTGCCTATGGACACTCACAAGGTGTTCACAGCACTTGTACAGTGGGGTTCTTGCAGAAGCCCATCTGTAATTCACAACAGAGAGGTCCTTGTGAGAGCTCTCTTTGTGTAAGTAGCACAATTATTGCCAATTTGGGAGGATTTGTTCACATTTTTCCACTGCTGAGGTCTTTGTTGATATGATACACTTCTTGGTATCAAACATGGAGGAAGTTCAGGCTTCTGTACAATGGCCTCACATACATATTTTTTTGCCTGCAAGTCAGTTGTACATAAAAGGATACTCAGATGAATTTTTTTATACCTTCTCAATGGTATTGTGACAGAGCTTCGTATCTCTTTTGCCTGCTTCTATTCTTTTGATTTCTGCAGCAGTTCGGTGTCTTTTCCTCCTTTTTTTCCCCCCTCTCACTTGCCTCCTTTGGTCCCTTTTTATAGACCCAGAGGAACTAACAGAGTGGGATCAGTTAAGGCCTCACGTACTGTGTGGGTGGGAGTAACTTCCCATTACAGTCACCTCCTCAACTCCACACTTCACGTACATGAAACTGTTTCTGCTTTCAATATATATTAATATTTCCTTGTAAAAATATCAATATTAATTCATTTGGGCCTAAACCAATTTACCAACAAGTCCACAAAACCATTTAGCTATGAGCCCAACTTCTTTAAACTTGGGCTAGCATTTAATTTGGTGTCAATGAATTTTTTATTTCAACAGGTATTATAATCTTTGCAAATTCCGATGTACAAACACTATGATTAGAAAAGATTATATGATAATACCGATGATAAAAACAGTTTCAGGGTTGAGTATTATGCTTGAATTACATTTTTTATTATTTAGAGGAAGCGATTTTCCATTGAATTACTTGGGTATAATTGTTTCATATTTGTGATTATAATAATTCAATACGTTAAATGCCATGACGCCTCAAGGATTGCGCCTCACCTTGTTAGACATAAACCGTCTCGCCTTTGAAAATCTTGATTAGCACTCCAAAATGATATCATGCACTTCTTCTCTTATGTAAGGAGTGCATAATAACAGTTTTGAGACAGCTCTCGAGATCTTTTATGGGCATGATACAAAGACCAAAATAAAACTATCAAGATGATGTAGAACAGTTAATCCCAAGTGGTGTCTAACACCAAGATAACATAGTCCACATTCAGTTGTACGGTTGTTGCTGGTTTAAACTGAAATTCCGAAATTCTACAACTATATCATTCGATCCGCAGGGACATTTTTGCGATTTTTCTAATATGAAAATATAAGACTAATGCATTCTTGTGTTGCAATGTTAATGCTGAGACCAATCATGTTCAAGAATACTTGACGATTGAGCAACTGCTCTTCTATAATTATGAATAGACGGCCACCTTATTCGTATACTGCAATTGCAAACGAACAATGCATTACTAACTCAAATACCTAAACCTCAACACTTCAAAAGCAAGAAATACATTTGCAAGAAAAAACTTTGGGACTTGCAACAAACAAAATACAGGCTTTCGACCCTTCATGGAGAGGTTTACTTGGGTAAATAGATATTGGGCTTGGAACAAAAAGACCTTTATTGGGCAGCTTTCGGCATTTCCTTGTACAAATCCAGGAAAAAACATATCAACGATCACGAAGAAAC